AAGGTAAAATAAACAGAAGAGATATTGTAATCCCAGGATGTACCGGTACCCACAATGCATTTGTTATCCACAAAATAATTTATGTGGGCATAGAATAAGATTGTTGGTAATCTGCATATTTATAAATAGACATGCATGTGACTTACTTTTTAACCCATTTATCTCCACAAAATGCTAGTGGAACAGTTTTTTTCTTTTTTTTTTTTCTTTTTTTTTTTTTTTGATAAATATTTTTTATTACCCATAACAAAAAAAATTACAGGACTTTAATAAATACAGTAAATACAGTAATAAACAAAACAAATAGGAAAACAAAACAAAACCAACAAATAATGAAGACAGATTACCATGTAACTCCAATTGTATTGAAAAAAAATTGTGGATTGAAAATTGAAAGATGCACAAACCAACATTAGGTAAAATTACCCCACTTCACCTGAAACAATTCGATAGTGCTATTTTTACTACATATACAATATTCCATTTCTTTTGTTTCCATTACTTTTTTTTCTACCAGACGAAATGAAGGTGAAGTGCCATTTAATTTACAGGAATAAATAATTTGTTTAGTTATAATAATGATATGGTTCAGTTTGCAAATGTTTATGTATTTTCTGCAATTTCTTTTTTAATTTTCGATGAAATCGACATATTTCCCCATTTATGACTAGTCTAGATTAACATTTTACAAAAAATATGGAAACAAATTTGCATTTTTTTTTTATGAAAACAGAATACATCACTGTTAACACATTTTTTATTCACTGGGTTTAAATCTCACTATATATTTTTTGACAAGTAAAGTTTGCTAAATTAAATTCACATGAACATGCAGAGTAAAAATAGAACTCGTTGTTTTACTGCCAAGTTAACTTAAATCCTAGCGACACCGCCTAAATGCCAGTACTAGTAACAATAAATCAGTTTTGAATATATATAGGACACATTTTTTAAATAACAAAGTACAATTTAGACATTTCTTTTTATTTAAACCCAAAGCTTGACAAAGCAGTAGAACTCAAGCACTTACAATTAACAAGTGAGCCATCCCTAAGTATTAAAATCCATACACATACCTAGCCAGGCATTCCTAAGCACTAAAATTCATACCTAGCCAGCCCATGGAACTTACACTTTTTACTACTGACCTGTGGCTACCAACCAAACAAATTTGGTAGTTCTTACTGCTATACTTCCCTATAAAGTCAGTACGGTGTCAATACAAATTATTATTATACATCTGTCACCGTAACGCCATAACTTACAGCGTGTCGTAATTTTGCGATATTATACGGGGTATTTTCATCCTACCATATTAAGAAATGTGAATTCCAAATATGGAATGATTATGCATGTAAGCGTCCTCTAATAATAAAAACAAACATGGCTGTCATACAAAGAAGTTCGCTGATTCTGTTCTAAACTTTTTAGATTACGGCATTCCCATGATGTATCCTTGGTAGGAAAAGATGTATAATAATAAAGTTATTATGAAGATACCTCAAAGTATGCACTCAGACAGTTTGCTGTTGCATCGACCTCCGCTGCGCGTGGGTTGATACTGCCGCTGTACTAGTACTGTCTTCGTGCATACTTTGAGGTATCTTCGTAATAACCTTATATTATTAAAATTAATAATTCTTCGTATAAGTGTAAGTGTAAATGAAAATTATCAATTGACTATCACTTGTGGATTTTAACTCCATTGGCAACCATTTTGATCCCTAGGCAGGGAAAATCCTTATTTTAAACACAGTGTTGATGTCGTTTAATGTCACTTAAAATTAAGGATTCCACGACTTATAATAATTGGACTCTTTGCTAAGTCCCATGAGTATTGTTGAGACTATTTTGGGGGGGGTGGGGGTGCTAGAGTGCAAGTCCTACTGCTTTGCTTATATTTCCTATAGGTATAGCTGTTGTTGCCAGTGAATGTGAAGTAAATCAATAGCAGCACATGCACTTACATTGTCATCAGATTGACTTAGGTTATTTATCCCTGCAACTGACAGGTCATCAATTCCCCATGGTGACGGTGTGGGCTGCGAACCACCATTGTTACTTGTAGACTGGTGACCTCTGCCTCGACCTCGACCTCTGCTACCACCTCTACCCCTGCCTCTTCCACCACGGCCAGTTCCTCTACCACCTCTTGGCATTTTAATTTTGTTTTTATTTCAACTTAATTATAATCTTCACCTGTGGGGTTGAAATACAAAAAATATTCATAATGATGCATCTCCAAGTATATGACATGCAACTCCTACTTATTCAAATTATAGCGTTTACTGATTAGAGTAAGCCAATGTTAAATTAACTCATTATCAGTATTATTAATTGATAATCCTTATTCTGTCACAAAACCATAACTGGATTAGTCAATTGGAATTACAGCTATCATGAATTTATAAAATGTTATATTCATAAAACTTTTATAACGTCCACACCTTTCTGTCCCGCACTGTATATATATCTTCAATAGAAGCACATAGAAACCAAACATTGCACACATAGGATGTAGGATGGACATACATTTATTACTCAGGGTAACTATAGACATTGTTTTTACTGTTCATTTAGTTATAGTTTATTATTAAGTTATAATCAATCATTTGAGTTCATCTGATGCCAGGCCCTATAGTTCACCTGGTCTGAATGGTCCAACATTAACAAATTAATACTTAATAGTTTGTTTTTTTCTTCTCGATTTTGTCCATTATTTTCTATTATGAAATTAAAATTACTGTAAAACACGTCTTTTTACCTAGCATGTCATTTCAGCTAATTTAGCTAATCTGTAATTTCGCTAATTCAAGATGTCACTAATTTAGAATAAATTATATTCTCACAATGAGATTTTAGCAAAATTAAGATTTTGTTAATTCATGTATTGAGTCAAATTCGCTAAAATTGCATGTAGCTATTTCAATGTGTTTTACAGTATTTCAAAAATGGACTATTACCTAAGCCAGAACTGATCATGAATGGAGCATGAGAAGCACAGGGAAGCTCCAAAAACAGTCATTAACTCAGGGCCAAGCTGCAGCTCTGTGACAGACGAAATAGCTCTACTAGTAATAAAAATGAACAACAGTGAAACCAAGAGCTCCGCAATTGCAAGAGGCACTGGACTGCAGTGAGGGGTGTCACTGATTATAACAAAGTACAATTTTTGCCACCCATGTTTATGCATAACCATTTTTAATTTTAGTGTTTTAATGCGTCTTATTTTATTTGTCTTTTGTAATAATTTTTTACAGATGGTTAAGTTGCGTAATAAAGTTATTATTATATTCAATAAAGACCAAAATGTGTTTTGTCAACTTAGAGAAAATCAGCAAAACCAGCCAGTAGTCATTAAAGACTCTATGCCTTCTGTTTTACTGAGTATATCTACCTTGACTATATGAAAAACATGGCGTGATTGAAACAATATATGGTATTTACACATGATTTCGCATGATTTATTCAAATAGCATCCCAGACTGCTATAACCAGCCAGATATCTATAGTCATATTTACTAGAATTTTTAAGAACAGGACCCATTTCAGCGGCACATCCCTAACAGTAACAGGCAATTTCAACAGTGCAACCCCCCCCCCCCCCAACGAGGCCAGTACAAACAGTACCACAATTATTTTTCACTTTTTTTGTCCAAGGCGAGTGTATTTTCAGTGGTTGTTTGTGTAACCCTGCCGCAAACTTGTCGACATAAACGTAAATGGCGATATGTGCAATCTGGTTCAACACCCGGTTCAACCCCAGACCAGTCGGAACCCCAAGATCATCACCACCGACCTAAAAAAAAAAACTCGTCGGACTCGGTACTTACCGCTAACTTACTTTGGCTCGTCGAAGCTTCGTCGAGTGTCGTTTTTTTCGCCGTACGATATCACGTCTCAAAGCACATCCATTTATTACTATATCGATACACCACATCGTCACAGTACTTATAACAAAATCACTAGTTGCACAACAAACAGCAAAGTCGTTGAATAAAGACTTTCTAATATTAGACATGACCCCTCAGCAGTTGACATGACCTCCTAGTGAAGATTACTACGCGGGGTCGTATTTTTGCGAATAGATCTACAATATCAAGCATACTATATATATCAGTTAGATTCTACTTTTTGCTAAAAAAAATAATTACATAAATATGGTCTTATTATAAAATTATAATCATATTATCTATGCTTGAAAAGACACGGAACTTCTTTGTATGTGCGTCATTGTATGGGGAAACCCCGACGTGAACAAACCGAGCATGTTTCTCGAGGTTTGCATCAGAAAATGCATACTCGACAAAAACGGACAATAGTAATACATTTAGTTGTACAAATTTATTGCTGTCCTTTTGCCCATTTGTCTACGGTAGGGAGTGGATTTGTTGCTCGTCTTCAACGTGCCCGGGCCCACGCGTGTCAGTTTGTAACCGTCGGCTGACGAGCAGTGACCCCGCAGTCATCCATTTGAAACACGGTGCCCCACCCCAGGAAAAAGAAAATGCCCCCTACCACCACCACCAACACCAACACCCATCCATACACACATCGAACAAATTAGTATTACAATATCGAGTATTAATAAACAAAAAATGTTTTACTAGTCCTTACTGACTCCTTTAAAGTAAATTTGTCAAATTAATAAGAAATAACGCTTGTACATTTGTTATTTTAAATATTCACGTCGTTCTCGGGGAACGACCATCTTCGCCAGCCAAGGACCATTTATGCGACCGAAGCCTCAACATTAACGTGCCGGTTATGAATGGCCGGAAACGATAGGAAACGAACTATTGAATAACTATCGCGAAATAACTATCGCAATCTTTTGTTTGGAAGATGTAACTTATTGGTTTGTTAAAACACAAATCATACACTTTTGGATTGTTTTGGACAGCACGATCTTTTTTCTTGGTGATAACTGTCTGAAAACATGCTAAAATTGGCATTATTTCATAATAATAAATAGTATTTGTCGGAATTTCCTAATAATTCGGGACAACTATAAGCATCTAACTACATATGACGATTTTTCACATTATGAGATACACAGTATTGAGCACAGATGTAAGGTCGTGGGCAATACAATTTTGTTACTGTTACAATTTCGGAACTTCACCAGAAGTAAAACAAATTAAAAAAATGATTTAAAAATAATATCACAACACTAAGGTACTAATATACATGATTACTTACTAATACGGTTTGGTTCTTCAGATCGTTAGCGACAGTCGAAAATATTTTTATATTTTACTCTCGGAAAATGATACCAGAAGTGTTAAATATTTGGGTAAGCTTATTAATACCCTTATAAGACACATTGACAATTTCACAGGAAAACGGCAATATTCTGGGAGTTCGAGATATTTAGGTCTGAACTTCGGTGACCAACTGTACAACTCAAAGCTAATCTTCATATTATTTACCCAGTACAAATGTTACAGACACGTACAATGCAGTGGCTAAAACTCTCACATAAACACACCGATTACTGATTTTCGTTAAATTATAGTACAGTACTAGTAATAGTATATTTGGAATACTAAGGTTTTGAACGTTATTTTAACCCTAACTATCGTAGATTTCAAAGCTGGTAAAGCCAGACTTTTTTATTCCTTGTTTCGCGAGTTTTTATAGGGCGATTTTTTTGAGGAGGGCGGAAAAAAATAAAATTAATAATTTTTTTCCATTAGATTTGTGTGAATTTGTTTAGCATCTTTTTGCGCTTAGAAGTCGGCGGGCGCGAGAAATTACGCTGAAATAAAATTATATTTTTATTTCATTTTCGGCTCCTGTTCATTCGGCGGGTTCGCGAAACAAGGGATAATAAAAGTCTGGCATAAGCCAACTTGGAGGAAATATCATTCGGACAAGAAATTAGTAGAATGGAATGAACTCTGTTTTTTTAACCCATTTAAAACATCACTGGAAATTTTACCTTGCTGCTATCACAGGCAAATTTATTACCACAAAAATGTGGTACAGTATACATTATGTACGGAGTGAGTAGGCCACCTCTACGGTGTCCGCTTTTGACGGCGATGTTGAGTTGAGGCAACGCATTTCAGTGTAGCTGTCGAGTGTCCATGAGGGAAAATGAGACAAACACGTAGTTGCATTTTGGAGTATGCATTCAATCATGATACAAAATATCAGCCAGAAACTTTAAAAAAAAAACGATGAATCGACATGTGCTGTGGGTGACGCGACAATGCGTGAGAAGTGGACGTAAAGCTGATGTTATTTCTTAAGGTAGCGAGAAGGGTTTGATGAAGATTTTGATTAAAACATTCTATGTCTTTTGTCTCATTCAGAACCGTAATTTAGCGTATATATTTCAAAAGCCTAAGTAGATAGGGACAAGTTCGCACAAACTAAGTCTGCGATTGCGAGAGCACAATGCGGATTTCCTAGTGAAATTTGCGCAAGGCATTGTCACGGTCTGTAATCAAGTCCATTGAAATGCGTCTCCGATAATCAAAAGACCTATTCTTCCGGTTTCTACGCAGGTTTGTTATTTTGTCCCCTAATTATTCCATACTTGGCACCTTTAACAGACTATTATTCTGTGACAAAGCATTTTTCTTAAAAAAAAAAAACAGACATATTTTGCACGATTACTGCGAATTGAGATTTCTCTGCAAGTTTCATAAAATGGTGGCTGAAACTTTCTAGAAATGAAATTGAACCTGAACTTCACTGATTGCAGCATATTACACAGCATAACTTGGTGATTTTGTTTAGAAAATGAGTAAAATACTTACTGTCGCTAACACTGCTTTTGGAGGCAACCATGTTGTGTACGCTCTCAACATCAAAATATGTTCAAAGCTTGAGTTCTCGATGTCAAAACTAGCGGATTTCATTCCTGCAGCTAAGCTTTTCCTGACCAAGCTATTCTGCACGGTGTCAAAGCTGTGATTTTCATTAAAAAGCTACACTTTCATTGGTACCCCTGAACTCGGCTCAGAACAAAAATAATAACATTGTTATATACCCTGAATATTTCAAAATGGGAATATTATTCTTAACTTTCAAATAAATATTGATCTTCTATTTCTTGTATTTTTAGATTTTGCAACACTGCATATTCCTCCTCAGCTTGCTTTGAACTATTGACGATCATGAATTTTGTAAGATTCTTACAATGTAAAATCGTTGGCGAATCACAAAATAATGTCGTGGTTCTAATGGCCACACAAATCTCTCTCCGTATTTAACACCTTCTCACTGTATGACTAATGAAACCCGTAATTCCATAGTTCCAGAGCTGCCTGCATATACATGTACCTCGTACGTTTCGTTGTCGTGGTCAATAATTCCCCCAAAAGAAGCAAATTGGGTATCATAAATTGCAACGCGAGAAATTACCCCCCTCCTCGAAGATGCGTTCGGGTGTGGATTTACATTGTCAGTATTGAGATTCCCTTTTTGAATAGAATTGAGGTCACTCAAGAACATCAGATTAGATTTCGTGACATTCGTTTTACCACGACTTCCTTTGAATGCGACACGTTCCACTCATTGTCACTTTGCTGAAGAAACTCGTGGCCTTCTTCAGGCCGCACTGCCGGCAGTTGAAGAGTATGTGATGAGTATACCGTGCAGTATTATTTGAACTATCCAGTCTTGGCGCTACTTGGCCAAAATAACCGTATCTGTAAACATAAAATGAGTCGATTTAACCTACACATTTCGAACGAGTCACGCCCTCTGGAGTCAGTACCATTTGTTACTTCGTTAAATGACAAATAAATACAACTAAAGAAAATGTCGTTTTGGCAAGAGTTTTTGCGAAGTTCAAACAAGTCTTCTTTTAAGCAATGACTATAATGTGAATGTGAAGCAGAACTCGAAACTCATGAATGAACCGATTCATACACGTGTGTGTGTGTGTGTGGGGGGGGGGTTGATACATAGCTGGGTAGGGAGGTGCCCCTGAGTGCTCAAAAGTGTGACCATTTTTATACCTGGATAGCGGCAAAATCTATACCCATATTTATACCAAAGTACCATTTCTGTCACCACTGTTTATTCCAAATAAAACAATTACCGTATTTGCTCTATATTCACTGAGGAATGTGCGCCATCTTATATTCCGTGTTAAATCACAGTTTAAATGTTGATTGCCTTGTTTAATTTCTGGAAGGCCGGGATCTGAGGTGGAGATATTCGCTCATATACCCATAAGTATAACAAATCAGAAAAATATTACCCATATTTATACCTATCTTGACCAGAAATAAGACCGATATTTATACCTAAAATCCAAAAAACGAGACCCATTTCAGGGGCACGCCCCCATTAGGCACGTTCTATGTATTGCTCCCCCCCCGGGGGTGTGTGTCCTTCAGGTTAAATCGTGAGCGTCTAGACAACCAAAACCTCTCACATAACTCTATCATGGGCTGGTGTTTGTAGCAATTCTCCTGACATTAAAGCTGCCACTTCACTGACACACAACCACAAAATTTACAAAGGACAATTACTGGAATGGTCAAAGACCACTCAAGCCCAAGACCCAGTGGTGTAAACACAACAAGTGTTAACTTATTAATCAATAATATCATTCCATTGTGGGACTAAATGTTCGAGCCTGACCCATTTTCTCAAGTAAAATCCCTTGTTCTCAGAAATTGCCCCATAACTCTTTATAAAGATCAGGTGACATCAAGGACGTAATACTGGCCAAGTTCTTCTGATATAGCGCTACAATCAAAACATTCAGTAGAGTTGACGATGCATTCACAGAGTTCATCGATCAGTAAATGAGTATTGTCGAGAACAACAAAACTAGTAAACGATTACTGTTTGGAATTAAGGAAAAAAAAACTTCACTAGTAAATCCAGAAAAAAAAAACACCCGCTACGAGCTACGAGCCAAAAAGTAGTATTACTATAATTATATAGTAGTATTACTATAATTATATAGTAGCATTACGAAATCGTCAACACTTCTAGAAGCGCGAAAGCGAAAAATATATATCAATAATTGTTTACTTGTTGTCAAAAGTTTCAGGAAGACGGGCAATAGTCTTTAGGAGCACATTCGTAGATTCCTCGATCGTTTCTGTTTGTAAGCAACGTGAACATTTGGACAGCATAAAAAATAAAAAGACACGTGATTTGGACTATATTATATTCGTATGTATGTGTGGTAAATATGCGGGTAATTTCGATTCAGCGATTAAACGAACGCGAAAAATAAAGTGAAATGTGTAATTACCGTGATTAGATGTATAATATTGTATAGTAGCTATCTTAAAAGTTTGTTCGTTATTCACACCGCCTGAGCTGGTGTTCCCTAAACAAGAACGAACCCAAACGACGCCAACAGACCCAACGGATCCAAATGAATTAGCGACGGACATTCGACATTCGATGCTACGGCGTACTGTGTGAATGCTACATATTTGGAATTCGCATGTGTAATATGGTAGGATGAAAATACCCAGTGCAACACTGTACGCTGTAACTTATGGCGTTACGGTTATAACCGGTCCGAGAATCAAACAATATCATAATTATACTTGATCTAGAGCATCATATTTATAAAATAACAAGTCAACTGCGGAATAATACGTTTTTATTAACATTACTGATTTGCAATGGAACACTGGACCATATATAGTGACAAGTCTTAAATCTGTTCGGGTATAAGTACTAAACATACATGAAATCTGAAGTTTTTATTCCACATTCTAAAACACAAAACTGGACTAAATAAATACACAACATTATAATTCACTGTTACATATTGAAGCGGGAGTGTCGTCACCTGCGAATGCGCAGGAATTGAGTCCCAAGCGACGATAACAACACACGCTAAAAACGCAAAGGCTCACGGGCAGACGCTTGTTTGTAAACAATGACACGCTATGGCCATCTGACGCATGCGCAGATGACGACTTCCCCGCTTTATTAAATACAATAAACTGGTTATTCAATGTTATAGGAGTTTACTCCAAAGCAACCTCTATATAACCTCTACTACGAAATTTCATTTTGAAGCATTGATGAATAATTATCGCAACTTAACAATAACTATTGTAAGATAAAAAATCAATTATGGCTTATCCAATCAATAAAAACAATTCATGTCTCTACTTATATCAAAACATAATTATAAATTCTTAGTTTGAATCAAGACATCTGACCGCATGAAACAAGGTTTGATATGAATTATTCTTGTCTAAAATACTATTTCGAATTTGGATAGAAATTTCCCGCGAGAAACATGCGCGGTTTTTTTTCTCCATAGCGTACGAGCATATGCATACTGACGTCAGAAACGCGCCCGTAGAGGTTTCTATGTTCGGTATCATGTCCATTTAATGTAATAACCAATCACAAATGCATTGTAACCCAGACCATAACCACAAAAGTATATACAAAGCACAACAGTCAGACGCACAACGTAAATGTTATTGTTTTTGAAAAGCTTTTCTGTGCTAGGCTTTATACTTTTATAAATCATTGTTTTATAAATTTTCACTGGTGTATGTATTAATTTAAATGTGACGTCAGCTCAAACGAGAAGCATACTGAAACATACAGAAGAATACAGAAAGAAAACAATCTGCTTGAGACTAAATGTTCAGTGAGATAGATGAAACGTCAAAGCACAATGTTCACTCCGCAGCCTGAATATTTAAGAGATGAGTGGAAATGTTTTGTTATTCACAAATCTAAATCTATACTGTCCACAGTAAGGCATAATTACACCAATGTCCACGATATGTCAATATTGCTTTACATTCGTTAACGTTCGATGATAAAAATAATATAAATTTGTCCCGATTCTGCTTGAATATTTTATTGATATTGCAATTGTAAGCGCTTCAACTGGGTAAGTTGTTTCTAATATCGTTGCTTCTTGGTGGCCGGAACGACATACTGCAGTTCTGTATCTGTGTTCCGTTTCAAAACTATTGCTGGTGATTTATTTCTTCCATGGAAGGTGATTCTTGTACGCAGATGACGTCAATGTATATATTATAGGATTCACCGCGCTGCCTGCACAGCAAATGGCGAAAAGAAAATTGGCAAAAGATGGATTTCTTTCTACAAGTTCATTTATTACGAGAATGCCGTGAATTGTTATTGGTAAATAGATGATCATGAAACAAACAACAAGACGAAGTGACAATTTCATAGTTGCAATGTTTGTCGCTTTTCCATGTCGTCCACCATCGCCGAGTGCTCGTTTCAGTGCTCTGTGGTTGCTTTGGGTGATGCAGCAAATGCAAATATTCGATACCATACTTACAAGTAACGATACAAACGTAATGCCGATTCCAATTTTTGCTCCGATTATTACTTTCTCTGGGACATCAATGATTCCGCATGGTCCTCCCTTACCAAGATTTGCTTTGATTGTCCCGTAACATATACCAATACAGAAACTTATAACAATGGATAAGTTAATGAATTTCTTCATTGTCTCTTTAGTTACTTTGTTTGTGATACCGATGAATCTCGTTAAACTTATACCTGCCAACATAATTACTGTTATAATGATAGACGAAAAAGTCGTTAATGTTTCCCAGAAACATTCACCATCGTTGATGATAGCAGAAGATGTGATGAGACGTCGCACAGAGACCACAAATCTTAAAGGAGAAGCTATGGTACATACTATTAAATCTGCCACAGCCAATGCCACCAGTTGAAAATTCGGAGCAGTCCGTAGATTCCTATTTGTATACACAATATAGCACACCAGACCATTACCAAATGTCCCACCTACAATTACAGCAATATAGATTACACAGGAACATATATTGTATTCAGAAAGAGACATGGTGTCTTGAGCCCTGACGACGACGTGTGAATGTGAGAAGCCACTGTCTATGTTACTAATCTATCATCGTGTTGCATCAGATTATATCACATGTTACAGTAACCATGGCAATGAACAATCCATCCCCGGGATTCGGTAACTACGCTTTATTCATGTCACACTGTGGTTTTACAACATGGGGGCTTGTTTGGTTTGCATAAGAATAAATTAGTTATATTTGCAAGATTTTGGTTTTATTGTTTATTTAACTCATATTTTTTTTAACGATTTCCGATTCGGGTGAATGAAAATGAATTTGAAAATAAGTAATGTACTCATTGTTGGGGGGGGGGGGGCTCTGCAACAACTAATATCATTATATGACATAATGTGTATACCACATAGAGACCAAGGAATAGTTTCCACTATTAAAAGCGGGTTAGTTTTAGATCATGTGCGTTGGTAACCTTCTGCAAAAGCACAAATTAGGTGCAAGATCTGCGGATCTTGTGAATATAATCCAAAATACATTCGAATTCACCTTTCGAATTTATTTCCTACTACGCTGTGCAAAGCAAACATACAAACTACATTCGTACTGCCAAGACACATATATTAACTTTAAGAAAGAAAGCATAAGGTCAAAAATAACTAAGTAAGTATAGGTCACTGTTTGAGAAAATATGTATTATTTTGAGTGGCGACGGGAAAGAAACCACGCGTGTTAAAGGTTATACGGTATTATTTCTCAATTAAGTACCGATTTTCAATGTTAAATAGACGTGTTATGCAACAATAGTTAAGTCAATAATCTGTCGACGACTGTGCCAGGAGCTATGATATAAGAATCCCACAATTACCTGCTCTAGGAAGCGCCATCCACCACATTCATGCAAATGCAAGAAATAAAATGTTGTCATATAAAATTGCAATGAGCATTGTAGATGTGCATGAAATAAAAAAAAAGTTCAATTTGTCAATTTATTTTGATGAAAGTACGTTTTGTTCTAGGTAATAATAAACCAATTGAAGCGATTTAAATAACATATACCGTGGTGATTTGTCCGTACATCCATTTTACGTTTTTTCCAAGGCCAGTAAGTCAAAACATTTACGCATGTTATTTGTAAGCTTAGTAATAAGTGTTGATAGGGCGCGTTACGAACCAAAATCGAACGATCCTACGATTTGCCTACGTAATCAACCAGTCGTGAGAGTATCGTGGAAACGAGAGAGACGTATACGGGTTAAAGTGTCAAAGGCTTTACGTTACTAATTTCGTCATTAAGTATGGATTAGCTTTTAATGTTAAACGAACAATGGACAATAATCTGTCGCCTCCTGTGCCAGTGGGCATGATATAACAAGCCTACAGTCACCCACTTCAGTAGCTCCACCCATCTTATTCAACCAAATGAAAAAATGAAATGTCCCAGTGTATAATTGTAATGCGCATGCGCAGATTAGATGTGCTTGGACAACTTATTTCAGCAAATCCATGCAAATAAGTTTGAAAAACATAGTGATCCACAGTAAGAAATTCGCGTAAAATGTGTCGAAGACGCATTAAACTGTCTTCCCTCTTCGACATTATCATAACAGTGTTTACACATTTATCAAACCTGTAGTCAAATGTCAGTTTACAGTGAACACGTATGAGCACAAACCTTTGTTAAAAATGATGTTGAAGCGGGGGAGCCGTAACCTGCGCCTGCGTCAGATGGCCATAGCGTGTCGTTGTTTACTAACAGGCGTCTGCCCATGAGCCTTTGCGTTTTTAGCGTGTGTTGTTATCATCGCTTATATATATATATATCGCCGCTGCATGACAAGAGAATGTTCGACATAAAAAAACGCAAAATTCAGAAAAAGTAATACACTCGTTTCTCATTTTATTTGTACGCCTAATAAGTTGACTCGTTACGTACCGAACTTGCCTACGAGCTGCTGACGTAATCAAACAGAGCATCTTGGAAACGACATATGATTGTGTGTTATTTCATGTTCATGAAAACAAAATTAATGTTGATAAGTTTGATATAAAGTTACCGTTAACCAACTTCTAAATTCGTAAATCAAAAAAAAAAATCAGTGGGGAAAAGATGTACACCCAATGACGCCAAACAAATTCTTTAAAATAATCTTCTTTGAACTGGACATTAGATCAGTGGAGCTTATGCAAAACATTTAAAGTATCTTCACATGAAATGAAATGTACTTGTATGTAACTAGACTGCCACATGTCTGCGTATTGTCAATGTCAATGGAACAATTATTGAAAAAAAACATTATTAGTCGGCAGGACCCCGTGTTAGAAACTTTAAGCATTGTGATGCAAAATACGCAATTGGGGTGATATGATAACACTTGTTGTCGTTCTAGTTCCATCTTTCTTTATTCGGGTTTTCAATTCTATAATTCTCCATTTAAAAGTGTGTGTTTACTGAAACTGTTCGGGCACCGCCTTTTGCTCACAAACAATATTATTAATGAACGTTCAATTTTGTGAACTCATTTTAACGATAATACATTTAGTTTCAATTTCTACTAAATCAGCAAAAAAGTTGGCGATTGATACTATATATTATTATTATATATTGCTAATATTCGCGAGCAGCAATTGAAATCAGAGGTAATTGAACGGTGATAAGAAATAAATATACTTGAAAATGCACTGAGAACATCTTGGTAGGGTCGGCTAAACGAAGTATTTTATCAATCATCATAACATATTAACATACTAATGCTGGTATTAATCAGTGAGATGTTGGCGGCCATTCAGTGCGTCATATCTATTGTGAAAATAAATCTAAAACATTCGAATTCACTTCACTATTTGTATTTACTTCGTTCGGATTATAACTGTTATCATGATAGCAATACTAGTTATATTGTGCTGAGCTAACTCTCAAGCTATATGACTACTACAAAGACACATACGGTAAATCATGACGTAACGAATGACAAAGTAGGTATATGACGCAAGTGTTAAAGCTTTATTAGTTATTGTTTCGTAATTGGGTATTTTTTTTTAAATTTTGAATGTTTAATGTTTAAAGAACGTGTCATATAACAATAGTTGAGAGAATAACGTAACTGTCGCTTCTTATGCCAGAAGCTACTATATAACAAGCCCACAATTACGTACTCTAGTAGCTTCTCCCATCACGGTCATCCAACTGAAACAAATGATATGTTCGTGTGTAAAATTACAATTAAACCGTGTTTACAATTTTACACATATTGAGCACCTTTCTTAGAAAAACGATGTCAAATGAACGTTGCATGAAAAATAAATGTTTGATATAAAAACGCAAAATTCAGAAAAAAATATGCAATCGTTTCTCATTTTATCTGTATCTTAATTAGTTGACAGAACGTGCCAGGAACCAATATCGAACGAGCATACGATCTGCTGACAAAACCGAACAGAATATATTGGAAACAAGATGTGAATATGAGATTATTACAAGAATACCTCAAAGAATGCACGAAGGCAGTACAGCTGGAATATCGACCGATGTAATTATACTCATAATGGCCGCCGAAATCTCGTTGAAAAAACAGTTATTTCGGGCAAGAACAATGAAAATAAATGGCCAGCCAATGAGACAGACTTTCAAACCTTTTTTTAGCAAAAAGCGTTTTGCAAAAATCAAGTTACACATTGTACTAAGACTATTTGTCTACATAGTGTGTACAAATAACGGATTTATAGTACAAAATATGTTATTTAAAATTATTTCACTGCATTTTTGCTAATTTACAAAAACAAACATGGTGAGTGTGGGAATAAGAAAGTACAAGTTGGCTTAATGGTAGCAATTAACTAAACGTTATTGTGTGTGTCCTTGGAATATATGTAGTATTGTGAAACATTCCTGTGATTCTACCTGGTGGTTGACTTTTTATTCGTAGTCATAGTCTGAGAAGGAGACTAATGTTCTGCGTTCGATAAGTCATATTAATATATAAATATGAACGTAGAATGTGATTTTTTTTCTTAACCTTGACCGAATCGCTGTCCTTTTCGCTCTCAAAATTTAGTCATGCCTGTTCCAATTTCTTTCAAACTTGTTATTGAAATATTCACTCATGATGGCTTGCTGGTGTATGTCGTTTTCTTGGTCGGTTTGATTGTTTCTCATCCGTCACTGACAATTAAACGACTTTTTGTCAACGAACTACCAGACATGAACTGAAAATGCTTCCTTGCAGACAAACGTCTGCTAAACAAAAGATTTGTTTCTCGTCCAAAACTGTGTATTGATATTATGTTTTGTTTGTAACGTTATAGAACCTTTGTATATTTGTATTGCCATGTACAGAGAAACAAAACAAGCTGAAACAGTTATATTTTTGTTTGCAAATTTGCTAATTAAACGGTACTGACTTTAATACATTTTTAGTTGGAAACAGTAAGCTTGAACATCTTTCAATCCATTTTTGCAAACTGATGAATGATTTATCATAACATGGCATAAAGATTCAATTCATTTGGTTAAACTAATGCGACGAAATGCAGGGTTTGTTAAAACAAACCAATTATTCAAATTAGTTAACAAAAATGCGCCAGTTGATTTTAAATAACTGACAGTCATAAAAAACTACATAAACAGTTTCATATATTTGAGCGAACAGTTGGCGGCGGCACGGGGGGTCGCCCCCAAATCAAGCTGAAACCCTTTGTGTCAGCAAAATTTGGCCCTCAAAACGCCGGAGATAGCTTTTTAGAGGCTCTAGATTTCAATTTTTAAGAAGGAGCATGCCCCCCCCCCCCATAGTAAGATCGCGCCTTCGGCACGAGGGTTGGTGAGAGGATCTACCCTCCCCGAATACATAATTTCGTGCCGCTTTCTCTGAGTTAGAATATAAACAAAACGTAATGGAAGTAGATAATTTGTATCAAATTAGCAAATAATAGATACTAGATCACGACTTTCAATGCAACGTGACAGAATACCATACCTTATACCTTAGATTGCCTTGCTGTTAATTTACTGGAAACTCGAAAAAGTTTG